ACATGGCCTAAAATTTCGGATTGCTGGTGTAAGGAGGAAGACTCTCCCCATATTAAAATGATAAATTTTACCCACAGTGCTTGCCATCTTCAAGAGATGCAAGGCACTTCTGTAGAACATCTCTCGACGGATTTCCCGCTCTTGAGTAGTCGTGTCCTTTCGGTTCACCAGGTCTTTCTTGTTTGTATGTGGTAGACAATGAGATAGGAGGTACTACCTGGAATTTTAACGACGAATTGAACAATATAAGCAATTCGCATTTTCAAAGCCAGCATGGCAGGTAAAAACAAAGAACTCGTTTCTGGTTCGCTTATCATGAGATGAAGTAAAGTATTCTGCTCAGTACAGTGCCTTTTGCGACAAACATTGTAGTGCGTTCATACTTTGCGTCGGCCTTTTGAGCGTACGCAGCGTTTTGAGCGTTTCGAGCCTACGCTAGCGTTTTGTGCGACTATGAGAGTATAGATCGATCTAGTGTACACCAGCGTACGGCAGCGTTCTGAGCGACCAGGTTTTGAGCCTTGAGCTTTTCGCGGGGAGTCGCTGAAACGCTGGCATACATTCAAAACGCTGACGCAGAGTATGGACGTAGATCAGACACTGACGATTGTTGCTCCCGAAGGGAAGAAGAAGAAGAAAATGAAAAAGAAAAAGAAGCGCCAAAAGCATGTGATTGTATAGCTTTCACATGGAAATGAACAATTAGTTCCACTTGGTCGACTTAACCTCATGCAGAGAGGAGCAGCAATAAAACAAAGCTTTGCCAATGGAGTCTATTTCACCGGTGATGGAATAAAACGACCAAATAAGTAGCAGACACCTAGTTGAAGCTCTAACCTCAACCCTTACTGCCCAGAACCGATGGGAGCGGCCTCTATTGGATCTCAGGGCAACGATGATGAACCTGACTGTCAGGGAGACTCATGTACATCTCAGGTCTATGCCCCTCGTCACCATATGCGACGTGAACATTGCGAGCGAACGCTATGGGCAAAGTGTCGCTTCTTAGCCCTCCACCTCCCCCTTTTGTCTACTAGCGATTACCAACTGTATGAAAGCCTCCTGCGAAGCAGCTAATAAAATTTCTGGAACAACTTCGGCATTCATTTTTTTCAGATATGTTTACAAGAGATAAGACCCGACAAAGGACTCACGTGGATGGCAATGAAATGCGGAAGTGCGTCAGAGCTAGACAAAGAAAGTGCGATTCATGAACGCCAGATAGGGCAGGGGTTATGTGTAAAGGCTAGAGTGAGGTGCGGCGGAATAGGCAGCAGATAAGGAGAAACCTAACTACAAAGCACAGTCTGGCTTTTGGACCAATTCTATAACTTCGTCATTACTCCTTCAATTTCACTACACCCTATCACCATTATCTATCCCACGAGTTGTGTTTCATTGCCTATTTTATCACACCATTTCTTTTCGGGCTTATAGCAACCGTACACTCCAAATCCAGCAAATTGAGTGGGCGTGGCTGCGTACTTCACTAAAGGCTGCTGCGCTTTTGGTAGAACATGTTTGCTTTGGGATAACTGTATTCATGTCTTTGTCCAGTACACAGGACAGTATGACATCCCCGAATGGAAATACCCCACCAATATATTAGGTTGGCGGGAAAGTTCTGTCACTTTTTCGAACTCAAAATACTTGTCCATTACCTGAAGAGGGGTGAACGGTAATGTGAGCACTTATACATCAAAGAGTGGTCTTTCTATTAGTACCACTCGCTTGATTCCTGCTTCTTCTTCTTCTTTCTGCAATATGGACAAGAATGTTATCCGCTACCATCCACCGACCCCTCCAAATGCTTCTGATAGTGCAGCGCACTTCCAAAAAAGTTCTAGCCGTTCCTCATGCAATAGAGCTGGATGGCTCTCCCCTTGCAGTGGTGTAGCACAGACATTGCTCCTTCTAACTGCGAGTTGCCTCCCGTAATCAATCATTACTGGACGAGAAATTACGAGAAAACCTCGAAAAGTCTGAGTTCAAGCCAAGATTGAGATGATGTCCAACTTTGTATCGCGCCTCCCTGCATTGTGAAGCGATGCATCCATGAGGTGCTCAAAAACAGGCAAGGACCCCGCAGTAACATTGCTGTACAATTTTGATCTTACACGCCTCTCTATAAAAAGAATTTGAAAAAAGTGACAGAACTTTCCCGCCAACCTAATATATCATGCGCCATGCCAAATGACGTCGGAGTCTCGCCTCTTACATCTCCAGGATGTAGAGTCTACCTAGATCGAGAAGAATTTTTTATGCGCTGTGCGTTCCTTTATAAACATGAAATAAATCTTGCCTGATTCATATCCCATTGTTCGGGCTCTTGTCCAATATGAAGAGCATCCGTACCAAAGTGAGGAAAGCTATCTCCAGACATTTTCCGAGTTAGATCCTGGAATGCCGATGACATTTTGTAGCCATGAACTCATACAAATAAGGCGAGAAAAAGTACTGCTAACAACGAACTGATACTTCGCATGATACATATTTAGTTCATGAGGAATCTGAGAATGGGCGCTGTTCGGCATACGGCAGGGGACGGGAGGGGTGAGATGGATTTCACGCTTTCACCAGTTTCTTCTTCTGGTTCTTGTTAACTAAACAGGTTTTACTTTGGTGGGATCTGTGATCTGGATGGAACTTGTAACTGGTGAGACCTGTAAAATCTGGGAGACCGGCAAGAGAATCGTACATTGCCGCTTCGTCGCGCGCGGCAATGGACGCGACGTTTCCTTAATCTGCGGAACCCTTTCGACTGGAGAATAGGATTTCATGTATACAAGGCCATGGTAGACATTGTCTATTAGGGGTCATGCATTGTCTACTCTCGGACAATACCCCAAAACTTCTATGCGTTAGCGGGCGCGACGCCGCACTCGACGCTCACGACGAATTACGATTCTCCTGACAGTCTTGGGGTTCAATCTTTCACCAAAGGAATTCGCAGCTTTCCACGAGGATGTAGCACATGTGAAACAGGAAAAACCGCTCAACAACCGAGGAAAATGTTCCCCAACGCCGCAAATTTCTCCTAGAAGGCAAATACGACTCTTCCTCTTGACCAAATACAACCCCATCCCCTCCCTTTATAAGGTCCGTGGTCCGTGAAAAAAGAAAAATCAGCTATCGAAATAAATTAAAAACAAGTAAATCCCCAGCGGTCATGTGCCCTACCTTGGACTGCGAACCTATGCTACACCAACGCTTGATTTTAACTGTAATCTTACTAACCACCAGACTTACACGTTCGAGGACAACTACATCCTGACAAAATTTGACCTACAAATAAAATAACAACTGACTGCACGCGATTCAAAAACCCACGCTTTTACACCCTATTTCGTATCAGTGGGATGGAAAAGTTCGCAATAGGCTCCAAAAATTACACTGACTTCTCGAACCCCTGTACTTTACGACCGAAAAATCTTCAGTCTTTGAACACGAGCGCCGCTCAACTCAGTGTAACAGCGTTCGAACTCCCATTATCTAGAAACGAAGCACTACCAATAGCGATTCAAACAACAAAAAGCCCAACCAACAAGTCGTCAAATTAAACCCAATTCGTTGGTATTTCTCCCCCACTCCGACTCTTCACAAAGCTTTCTGCTCCATAAAGAGAACAAAGGGCTTTGGACTGCCAAACTAAATTATACAATACTTGTATAGCAACATACCACTGAAAGTGAAGGGCGGACGAATCGCTGTGAAACATAAATGCAATCAATGAGAAAGCGAGAAGATCGCGCAAGCATCGGTTGAAATAGTGGGCATTGATTTCGCGATTATTTCATCGATTATCTTAAGAATGCATTTCATGACCTCGTCAGCTACTGCTGACTGTGGACCCAATGGTACTGTCTCGCTGTAGTTGTCGAACTAGTACAGAATGAAGGAAAAAGTCTGAGGGACTTTTTCGTCTATTTTGCCGTAATACGTGAGGAATCAGCTGATCGAAGGACAAAGTGCAAACAGAAGCAGTACCAAAAACACAAACAAGAGACGGTGATCACTCACGGGGGGCGCATCGAACAGGGCACATTTGGTTGGGGATTCGGTCAAACCATATGACCCCCCCCCTCCTATGGAACTGAATTCAGTTCGTGGCACAATTTACCATTTACTGCCTCAATCATCCCAAATATGGCTAGTCTTTGACCGACTTTTTTTCTCCAGAATTGGCTAACAATTTGTCCTCTGAGGTAGTTTGACCTCCTGAACACGAATATCACATCCGCTCGACACGAAACTTCCTGGCGCCCGCGCTAAAATACCCCAAATCACCGGCGCCTGTGGCGGGCGCCAATAGGTTTTGGGCTAAGCGGATGTGATATTCGTAAGGAGGTTCAGGAGGTTAAACTACCCCAGGAGACAAATTTGTGCCAAGTCTGTCCACGTCGGTCAAAAAAAGTCGCTCAAAAACTGGCTCGATTTCGAGTGATCGGGGCAGTAAAGGGTATCCAGAGATCGGCTTTGTGCGGACACCAAAAGATCAACAAAGCTAGTTCAGGCCACCTTCTCAAGGCCTATGAAATCTGTAACCTAAAAGGCTAAATCATGCAATTACGCAGCAATACCCCCTCCCAAGCCGGACAGCGCCAAATCTTCTCACAATATTGCAGTGCTGTGCGGTAAAGAACATGTCTTGGATAGAAAACAGGAAAAGTGCGAGGAACCTATAAGGGAATGGAAATGAAATGTTGACGACGAAGGAAATTAAGGAAATCGAGTGACCCGAGAACCTGCTCGTTCGAATTGTCATGGACATCGTTACAGCGCAGCGTTTCTCAGTGTAAGAAGAAAAGATATGGGCGCGCCAGACAAGCGCGACGGGAGAAAGAGAGACGGAAGTCGTGACGGGACAGCAGTCGTGACCGGCCACGTGCTTCAAATGATCAATGACGTCATCCTGGCCCACGGAAAGAGCACCAAATAAATAAGAACAGACTCACCACCGCTATAGAACGAACATAACCAGTAACAAGCGGCCGCTCACCCCAGCCATAGGCTTATATGTATGATGTGGATCGTGCAATCGTCACACGATAAAGCATCATTCAATCATTCGTTCGAATCACGCCTCCCCCGACAAGCAAACATCGAACTGCGGGGGGAAAAAGCATTTCGATTCTGTCCGTCAAAGCACCACCATGTTCGACATCATTGAATAATTCATCGTTTAAGCCGGGTTTTTGATTGGAAAAGCCTCAATTC